GTTCAAGAAACAGGAAGCAAGATACATAATTCGATTTTATTTCGAATTGCTTTTATTGCGGTAAAAATGCACAAAAAAGAAATAATAAAGATGTTTTAACTAAAACAGTTGAACATAAGATAACAAAAGAGAATATTTAAGCAAACATTAAAGAGAAGGAAGAAGACAGATTTCGAAAAAATCTTTATTAACATCCAACATGTTGATTTATCATGTCAAAAACCGTGTATATCTTAAGACTGTTTTTCCGATTTTTGGCGATTTTCGCGAATTTTTGCTATAGGAATAATATTTTTTATTTTTGTTTATTAAAATATAAGTCTTCCCGAAAATTTTGCTACCCCGCGCACCTCTGTACGATGAAAAAAAATAGATTTTTCATCCCCTTGAAAAAGAGGTGATTTTTTTCAGAAATCGTGAGATCTTGGAAACGGTTCAACTTTATGGGCCCAAACAATTATCTTCTGTTTTATCGTAAAACAGGCTATGTTACCTCCAAATTTCAAACCCCTACGACATTTTTTCGCAAAAATAAGAATAAAAAACGAAAAAATCAGTTTTTCCGGTTTTTCTAGGAAAATTGGAGGTTATGTGAAAATAGTGCAGATACAAAAGTTGCTCATTTTTTTAATCTCTATAACTTTTACATTTAACATTTTCGTCTAAAATCAATAGTTTTACCACAATTTGCAAAATACCACTTTCCACCCCTTTCAACCCCCGTGATTTCACCCGCGGAAAAATTCAGCTGTTTTAATTATTTTTTCCCAAATTCTATTCATTCCACCTGCCTGAAAAACCCGGTTTCGCCCGGTAACTAATTTTTTTCATACAAAAATATTATATAGCCTGGACTATATCCTAATAAATGTTTGCACGGTCTCTTTGATGTGCTTGAACCTGCATCGTGCTCTACCCCATCATATTCTGGTAATAATCCATCTCCTCTATCAATTAGTTGCTGTGGTCCTACTCTTCTTCCTCCGATGGATGAGGGATGCTGAACGCTTCTTCCTCCTTGGATTCACAGGACATTATCCGAAGTTTGCAATTTAAGAAATTATTGAAATAAGAATTGAAAATGAAAAATGAGGATATACAGAGAATGGAAAACTAGGATTGGATCGTAAAAATGTAATTATTTTTAATTTCATATGGAAATCGACCAAAATTTGAATCAATTTTTTTAAACATTAGTACCTATCCATTTTTTTATATTGACAAATCACACCATTTATTTTAGTCGTATGGTTTTTACAGAGCCCAACTGGATTTCACAAAATAGTGTGACCTTTGAAACGTCGATAACCAAAAGGTACCTATTAAGTTTGGGTATGGGATATGATACATGAAAAGTATTTAGAATTTTCCTTAGAATTGAGAGGAGAAAGTGGACAAAGGAACTGTAAGTATTCCTTCAAAAACGATATTTTAAAAGTCATTAATTTTTGTTAATCCTGAATTCCTAATTGGGTTGACTTTATAACTAATAATTTGACATATTTGACCGCCCCTCCCAGCCATAAGTCACGGAATCTCGTTGGAAGATATGATGATTCCTACTTGGCGATGTATCAGGATACTTTACAAAAAAAATCAGCCATGTAACAATAACTAACAATTTTCTGCCAACATTTTAACGAAATTGTACCGGTCAGGGAACCAATCAAAGGATAGATCGGTAATTCTAACCCGCGGAGGGGTGCCAATTTATATACTGTTATCTTACAAAGAGTTGAAGATTATCTCAGGTTCGCGGTGTAAAATCCTCTTGCAATTTCTTCGCCTTGCAGCTTGAAGTACTTTTGGAACTTACCTTTTTGCACTTTTACTTCCATCTAGCTCAGGTAAAAATAGTTTAAAAGAGGACAGAATTTAGTTCTTCTGTTTCGCTGCTATATCATTAATTGTCAATAATTTATAATCAAAATTTGGAAAGATACTGATTTAGAATTTTATACTCCAATATGTTTGGGAGTGTTTATGTTATTTGCATTTAGGCCTCTCCTGGACCAAACCCTTTTTAAGTTACTTTGTAGAATAGCAATAATTCCAAAAATCTAAAGAGAATTAAATAAGTCCATTTATTATTATTATTATTAAATGTTGAAATAATGAATACAACATTTTGACAACCACTCTAGATTGAAATAAAATTAAATGATACTGGTCGAAAATATTGTAACCCAATAAACAACTAGAGTAGGTAGCTATTCTAAAATTTAAATCTCTCTTTCAGATCAGATGTAGGTAGGTAAATGAGATAATTTCCACAGATTCCGAATCCTTTGCTTACCATACACTGTTAAAGAAATTTAACCTTTAAGTTACACTGTCAAATTCAAATTCTACACTTCGGTAAAAAAGAAGTAAAAGATATAGCGTTGTTTGTGGCTTTTTTCTCATTGCAATACGGTCATTTTACTACATTTTTTCATGAGCTAAAGCGATCTTAACGTATATTGGCAATTCTTTTAGATTTTGACCTGTAGATACCAAGATACCAAATCACTCAAAAAATTGAAAATCGTACGAGTCTAGCAAAAGATATAGCTTTTCCTTGTGTTTTTTTTTCAGATTTTCCCATGAGCTGAAGCGATCTTAACGAATATCGGCAATTCTTCAGTCACTACAAGTTAAAGTTGGGGTGGTGGCTTGCAAAAAATGCAGTTTCTGAAAGTTTGGTATGTTGTTTGGGGGCTTGGTGGCCCCATTTTTCTGACACAAAATTGTACTCGTGTAAAAAAATTAACTTGTATTTAAAAAAATTATCTGCTTTGATAAAATAGATTCCACGTTTTTAAGTTGGGTTGAAAATTCTAAAAGCTGTCGTATCAATTTCTGAAATCCTAAAGCCATCCTATCACAAATATCACGTATTCGGAACGTATTTTCACGTCCAAACGTGGATGGACAGTAGTTAAGTACCAACTGTTTTGAGTAACCCAGTCAAGAAGACCGGAATTGGCTCTTAAAAAATTACCAAAAGTGCTCCTGACACGATACTGAAAATAATATCATGTAAATGTCTCAGCTTGCAGCTGCAGGGCTAATAAGTTCCACCCTTTGGTAATATTGATCAGAACCTGCTTGTGAAAATGCCGCAGAAACAGATCCTCATGAAGATGATATAGAAGCATAAATGTGAAGAAGAAGATTTCGAGGATGTACTACAGCTGGAAGATAACGAGGCAGAAGATATACCACATAAAGACAAAACATGACCGATGTATTAATACGAGTTTTTATTAACAAAGTACTTTACTTACGCTGCGATGCTAACGAGTACTTTTTGATACGCTACCAATGGCAACGTACAGTCTATAATGTAAGACTGTTGAGAAAAATCATGTTTTATTGAAGAAAAGTATTATCAGCCTTTTTCCTTAATTTTAGAATTTTTAGAACAACTTCAAAGCTCCATATCTATCTATTCCACCAAAATAGATTTTAATTAATTATTAAATAAAAGTATATTTTACTATAATTTTTATATGAGTACAATTTTGTGACTGTCGTCGCGCTAGAAGCAAAAATATAAAAGCAGTCCAAAGATTTCGAAGTTTTTTGGGCCCTTTGAGGTTAGCACAAGGAAATTGTGTTGGAAAAATGGGGTGCAGTACTACTGAACATTACGGAAAAATATGCCAAAGTTTCAGAAAGTTTCAGCATTTTTTGGAAGCTCCAACCCCTATACCGACTGGACTAAGATCCCTGAGAAAAAAAACCAGACTGCCGAGCAAATAAAAAAAAACGTATTATTGAAAAAAGAAGAGAACAAATATTACAACATTTTTATGGATCGGTAGTTTTAAAGTGAGGGTCTATCAATCAATTAATAAAATTATTTTACATTTTTTTTTAAATGTAGGAAAATCTATTATTTATACCAAACCATTTTTGTAAGTACATCTACGAATGAACATGTATAAAATGTGAAATTAAAATTATATCAAAATAACATAAAAAAATTCTACTTTCTGTCTCCTAATGTCCAAAATATCTTAAAATAAAAATCAGTACACATAAAAAAGCAGCTAAGTGTTTTAAACACAATAGAAATAATTTTTAAATAAATGTAAGACATTTTTTGGCACCATGTCCCTTTTTTAGTTTCACAAAATGGCTCAATTGTTTTTTACGAGTAAAACTTATTATTCTCGAATGTTACATTGCGTTTATCTTCGGCTATGACATTTTTTTAAATACGTGTCATATGCACCTTGCAAAAACGAATTAGGCGCCGTCCTGTAGTTGCACGGTAGCAACGTTGCTATATTTGTGGGTAGGCTGAGAAAGTTGCGATTTCATGACATTAAAGTTGTAATACCCTGTACAAGTATTATAGCTACTATTAATATATTAATTAAATTATGGGTCACTATATCAATGCTTAATTATCTAATTAGTAATTTAGTGGACTTTGAATGAGCTTTGTTAAGATTAATTTAATTATGGAATTGCAATAATTGATTAGGTAAAACAATAGTTTTGAAAATATAGAAGATATAGTAACAATATCTGGAACTTCTCGAACCCGAATGTCATAATAATGGGATACAGTTTCTACAAAGTTTTATTGATTTTACCAAATCTGAATACATTTAAGGGTTTTATTAAAAAAAGAAGAGGGTTGATAGATGACGGTCAAAGTTTTTGAAATAATAACACCTTTGTTTTTGTCAAATGTACGTTATTAATGTTATTAAATCAATTTTTTCAACAATTTCATTGTTTAAACGTGCGTTGTTTTTTTTAGTAATAGATTCAATGAAATAGGATGACGTTTATTGATGGGTACTTGAAGTAAGATCACCTTACTTGTCAACGATACTACTCGTAGAAAGAAAACCGCTCCCAACTTCTACGAAATTTTCTTCAATCAGTTGTCATTTGCGTATATGCATCTGAAAAGGTTGTATCTCGAATAAAATAAAACGCAAGTTTATTGTAAACGAACATTTTAATAATAAAATAGTCATTGACATAAAAATCGTACATTTCAGTAAGAGACATCAATTTACAACCGGGTACGTGATCACAAATGGGTTGAGGGTAATCACACCATGAAAACATTCATTATGAAATACGTCAAGGATCCAACAAGATATTTTATTTGTAAAATGTAAATAAGTTCTACATTTACTTAAATCGAGCACGACGCTAGTAGAGAAAATTTAGTACGGTATTTTTAACTTCGGGGGTAACTACATTAAATTTTAATTGGATTAAGAAGCCCCTAAAGAAATGTGACCCAATTCTAATCGTGCTCTGATATCATCTAGCATTTTGTACCTGAAATATTCGGACCTTAAAACTGTAACGTTTTCACACTATATAAACCCCAATCTTTATCTTTCTTCATACACGTATAATTAAATTTGAAATTGTATATAATATCTGTTTCTGCTACAACTACATATAGGAATCTATTAAAAATCAGTCTTGTTTAGTTACATATAGATCTTCTTCTAATAAGCAAACAATGAGATGCAAGAGGTAGAGATTTGTACCGTAGTTGCCAGGAAATTTTGCAAATGGCTTATTTACACTATTCAAATGTTCACCGGTTTGTTTCGAAAACAAAATTAACAACAATAATTAACGCAAAAAAGCATTTGCAAAATTTAAATACACGCAGCAATCGTTTAACTATTTACACATAAATATTTAACAAAAATTGACGAGATCGTATTTGATTGTTTAATGCACACGCATATTTCAACAATTATTTTAGTTTAAAATGGACAAAAACCTTTGAAAAAATAAAATGTAGATTCTCTTATATTACCATGGTAACCCTGTTTAACATTAATATTAGGTAAACTAAACTAATAGGAAATATACCCGTATTTGGAAAAAAACAATATTCTACAATAAACTAAATTGCAAATGCTGGCGCAATGGCACTTTAAAAACAATAAAAAATTGAGTCTAATCTAAAAGAGAAAATATTCATATCACCTGCCTATTTCTTTAGATCAGAGGTAACTCGCGTTTCTTAACAAATACTAGCAAAAAAAGTAACAATATTACGAAAAGTACAGCCACCTTTTACAGTAATTATATTTATTTACCTATAAAAATCATTCGTACATGTACAAAACATTCACCTATGTCAGGAAACCGGGATATGTCAAAAATTTTATGTACACCTGAAGATTTTACAAGAACTTTTTATTCTAACTTAACTCTACGTAACGTATTTTCGTTTTTGGGCCCGTATAAAGTTCCACTTTCACACCAAAATCATGAATAACTTTTAATTTTCAACCCGTTTTGAAACAAGTTGAATTGTATTGAAATCGTGACAGGGTTACAATATTTAAAAAATTCAATCAAATCCGGTTCGTTTGCAAAGTAGGTGTACCGGAAAGCTCTAACGTCTTTGGTACCTACCTATTATACAAATATAATGAATAGAGAAAAAAAATGCGCGGAAATGATGAAAAATGATGCCGAATAACAAAGCGTGTGTGGGAAGAATAGTTCAGTGACCGCTTGAGGATGCTGCAAAATTTAAAATTGATCCTGGGAACAAAAAGGGACTTAGTCCATTTTAGGTAAATTTAAGGGCATCGACCGTTGCGCGTATCGAGGGTAAAATAGAACAGGCCGAGCGGTGTTGGATTTCAGCAAATTTGTGTGATTAAAAAAACTAGTTCGATAACTTGAATAGAAACAGGATTTGTGTGAAAGACAACGGCCTAATCATTTAGAATGATTTGCAAAGAGTAACCCCTGTCAATTTCACCGAGCGAAATTTTTTGCGACAAGGAAGTGTAGCAATAAATCCGCATATTTCTCTAACAATACTGGAAAGCTTCGGACTGACAGGGATAATAAAAAATAATTTATAAGTTCAGATTCACGTGCAAAACCAGAGCGGGAAGTTTTAAAGCCAAAACAGGTATAAATTGCAGGTCCTTTTTAAACCATAAAAATTAGGGCTACTAGAAATTTACTTAAATTTGCATCTATCTATATACAAGCCACCGGTTTATATCGTCCAACTAGAATGGTTAACAACGTCTTGTAAAATCTTCCTAGAACTAAAAAAAGAGAATTCCCATTGAAAAAAATCACTACTAGTCTATTGAAGAGGAACTTACATACCACACTGTACAGAACATTCCGTTAATTATAAATAAATCTTCCTGAAACTATTTGACAGTTATAAAACATACCCGTAGGATTGAAATAAGACTAGGAGAGAGAAGGATGTCTTCTTTGCAAGAATAAAGTGGCGGAATCGTCGGGCTCAATTTCGTCGTCGTCCAAATCCTCTCTCGAGCTTGGTGATCTCGATAGCGGCGAGTCTCCGCTGCTATGCGAGTGCAAACCTGTGCTCATCGATAGGTCTTCAGGTTCAGTTTGTTCGGGAAACGAGACCTGAAGTGGAAGCGTTACAATTGGCCTTGTCCGCAAATCGTCTTCCTCGGATATTTCGGATTTGATTAGAACGGGATCTGGCGCCCCGCACTTGTGATGTAGAAGATGATGCCTTCTTCTGAATCTACTTTGGCAGCGATCACATATGAAGGGTTTCTCGTTGGTGTGGATGAGTAGATGGGCTTTGAGCTGATTTGAGTCGGAAAATCGCGCCTGACAGTGCTCGCATACGTAGGGACGCTCCCCGGTATGCACGCGGAGGTGGCGTCGCAAATTGGCGACTTGTACGAATTGCCTATCGCAGTGATCACAATGATAGGGACGCTCCCCCGTATGTAATCGCATGTGCGTTTTCAGGTGGTGATCGCGCGTAAACCTCTTATGGCATTCTGGGCATTCAAAGGGCTTCTCCCCCGTATGTGTTCTTTCGTGATTTTGTAAAACGTGCTTGTATCCGAAGGAACGATTGCAAACGCCACAAGTAAATTGACGGTCCCGGTTAGAATCCTTATTTATAGCGTCTCCCGTGCTCGAAGGAGGTGACGAGCTCGACGTCGGCGACGCTAAAGGGATATCGTCCTCCAATTTTCTCGCAGTTTTTCGCTTCGGCAACTTTGTGTCGGAACTACTACTACTAACGACGTTATTATTGTTATTCTTTCTGGCTTTTAACGCGGGTGATAATTGTTCGCTCGGTACCGGCGGCGATGGAGGCGAATTTGTCGGCCACGCAGCTGCGAATAGCCCCGGATGGAAAAAAGCGGGATTGGCGGGTATACCTAATCCGGATGCCGCCATTAATTGACTAGCCATTAATATTTGAGACGGTGTAAACATTGCCGAATTTGGGAAAGACGGAAATGCGACCGATGTTAATTGATTTTTTAGCGACGTTTGCTCTTCCGATTCAACTTTCATCGCGTCTCTCCCCGACGACAGTAAATCTGCAACAAAACATTTCATTATACAACAATCGCCGACATTCACATAGAGCAGTACAAACTACTTTCCGAACGTCTACAGCCAAATATTAAACCTTTTTTTTATTGTTATATAAATTTGCCGGAAGCAAAACCCAAACTTCTAAAAATGTAACAAAAGGGAGTCGTGACAAATATACGCTGTCCAAACTGCATGGCATATGTGAACCCCGAATTTATTTGACGTTATTCTAGCGGAATGTCGCACAGTATTCCTTAAGACACCCGACAATAGCTGCAAGAAGGCCACAATGCCCGGAGACATCTCAATGGTTCGATACGTGCCCTTTAGATTCACTCGAGTGCCTTTCCAGAATGCTCATCCTCCAAACTATCCCGATCGTGAAACGTCACGTTATTTATACAACATTACACCAAAACGAAAATATATCGTACACGTGATCGCTATAGTTACTTTGACTTTAGGGAATTGTTTCCTTACGTAGAAAGCAACTTGCGCAACTTGGAAAATTATGTTTTTGTTTTAGACATACAAGTTCGAATTACAGTCAATTTGGGAACTGCTCAATTTAGCCAGTAAGTATCCACATTTTGCAAATTGAAAAATGTCTTTTAGTACGCAATGATTGGTTTTTAGTCCAGGAAATTTTCGAGGCTTTTCGAATTATTCGCGACCGAAAGTAGGTATCACTTTTGCATAGAAAAGATCAATGTTTCTATTGTTGGTTATTCGCGACAAACTCGAAGAGAATGTTATTAAAAAAACTGTGCAGAAACAAATAACAACTGTTAAAAACAAAGAAAATAGTTAGGTTAGCTCTTGTTCGTCTAAAGCTAAATTAAAAAGTTCCTATCAACGGAAAAGCTATGCATTTTTCCAGAAAAACGTATAGAACATAACCGCAATGGTCCCATCTGTTGGATGCAAATGCCATCTCAATGTGACTTTGAAATTAAGCTTTTTTTTAAGCTTTAGAAGATTTTTTAATTTCATACAAATTTTCTAAACTATTAATTTTAAGCAATTTTAGTGTGCCGAATTTGAAAATTGTCGATTCAACAAACTAACCATTACACAATTTCAGAATTTGTTCGATTTATAGTACAGTCAAATTAGATCAAATTTTTACGAATAGCGGAAATAATTGAAAGAAAGCTGAAAATTGGTATAGAGGTACATTAGGGCTTGTATTCGAACATACTAAAAGTCGGGACCGAAACTCTTAGTGCTCGAGCCGCCATCTTGGAAAAAAGGTACTCCAAATCACTTTTTCGCTGATATTTCGGTAACCGTGCATTCTAGGAAGTAAAGTTTAATATAAAAAAAGAAAGATAATAAAATTTTGTATAAAAAAGATGGTATGCACTTTTTTTGTATTTTCGTTATTTACGTCGATATGCCACATTGAATATAGAGCATAATCTTTTTTTCAAATGTAGGTGCATTACTTTCAGCGCTCGCGTGCTTTAAACATGAATATGTTAAAAAAATGGATCTAGCGGACATTTTAGGGCCTGTTAACCAGTGAAGAGAAGGGCAGTTTTATCTAAAATTAAACACTTACGACATATCGTACTGACTCAACAGATGCGTGTTTTGTATTTCTCGTTAATCCAATCACTGTTAATGTATGGAATTGTTGGCTGGGAGTATTTTATGCTAGTGAATCCTTATACAGTCTTATACAGGGTGGTGCCTAGCATGACGCAGCGCAGGGATTTCAATGGTAATTTCTTTATAGTCACCATACTAGCTCCCCTAATTATTTTACAGCAAAAGTCTAAAGAAGTTTTTGTTAGAGAAAAAAATACTGCATATGTTCATACTATTACTTATAATTTTCCGTTTTTCAAAATCCTAGAAATTCACAAAATAAAAAATTACATTTTTATAAATCAGTGATGATCTTTGAACAAACTACAAGCGCATCGCGTTATTGTTGTTTGACGTCCAAACGATTTTTATATTTAATTCTGTATTCTTGCACTGCTTGGAATTGGCCTATTGGGGTACTTACCACTAAATACACACGTTACTTGGCGGGCATTATTTCCAGCATAAAACAACTTTAACATTTCGGTTTTCTCGTCAGTTAAATACATGATAATCAATTTTATGATTAACTAATTTATAAACAAGTATAAATTTAATAAACGTCAAAGGCAAATAATGAAACGTGATTGCCGTTTTTTTAGGTAATTCCAAGGCATATCTGTTTTATTGAAAAATGAACCTTTTTATTTGGTTAATTTCTACGGTTTTGAAAAACGGAAAATTATAAGTAATGTATTTTTTTTTCTATAAAAAAACGTATTTAGACCTTTGCTCAAAAATATATAGGGTAGCTAGTAATTGACAATAAAGAAATTACCATTGAAATCCCTATGCTGCGTCGCGCTAGGCACCACCCTGTATAAGGAATCAAATGTAATGAATTTACGCTAACCTTACTGTAACAAAATCCTCCAGTTCATAAAGACATCCAAAATTACTGCCCAACATGCACTCTCATTATACACACCAGGAAGACCATAATCTCGACTATAATATACTTTTTCCAAGGTCTGAAAAAACAATCTGTAAACGATGTGCTCACTGCTCAGTACATGGCTCCAAGGCTTTATTCCATTCTACCGCGCGAAATGGAAAACATATCTACCTATCCCGCTTTCACGAAAAAAGTTTAGGTGTGGATACTGGAATAGCGCTATGTACTATTTAGCGAATTGTTAATGGAATTGTTTAGTTTAGTTTATTATTTTTAGTATTTTTTATGAAATGAAGTCAAGTTTGATTTATATTTTTTTTGTAAATGCCCCGTATCCATTACAAGTAGTACAACGAACAAACGACTTCGGATTTTGGCAATATTTATTTTTCTTAGTTTCCTTATGTATGTATCTTTTGTATTGAGCTATATAGTAGAAAAATAAATATATTATTTATTTCCTTCTCTTAGATGGTCAACAGGCCTTAACAATGTCAGTCAATTTTTTAAACATATGTTTAAAGCACGCGAGCGCTGAAAGTAATGCACCTGCATCTGAAAAAAGATTATGCTCTATATTCAATGTGGAATATCGACGTAAATAACGAAAATACAAAAAAAGTGCGTACCATCTTTTTTATACAAAATTTTATTATCTTTCTTTTTTCGTATAAAACTTTACTTGCTAGAATGCACGGTTACCGAGATATCAGCGAAAAAGTGATTTGGAGCACCTTTTTTCCAAGATGGCGGCTCGAGCCATTGGAGTTTTGGTCCCGACTTTTAGTATGTTCGTATACAAGCCCTAATGTACCTACCTCTATACCAATTTTCAGCTTTCTTTCAATTATTTCCGCTATTTTTCCTAATTTGACTGTACTATTAACGCAGTCTAATAAGATAGTAAATTATATGAACCGTTATTGTTAGATTTAGTTTTTTGTAATGTAGTTTGTAGTGTTCAAAAAGAAGAAAATCCGTTAGTTAATGTGGATGCTTATCATCCTCCTCTAAATATTATTAACCTGAGACACTTGTCTAAATCTGAAGTAGGTACGTTTTGCATCGATTCCCGACAAAAACGTTTATAACTTTAAAAGAATTGATGTCATCATTTTATACAATGCACTTTTGCATGTTGATTGATCCTTTTTACACGAACAATTTTACAAGTAATATATTATTTATTTGACGACTTTGTCCCCTTGCACCGTTCATATAAGCGCAGTTATCCCCGCTGGTTTAATGCGGATATTATAAAAATCCTTAAATTAAAGAGCAAAATTTTCAAATTATATGAAAGGTATAATTTAGAATCATATCGCATTAATTACAACGAGTTAAGGCGAAAAAATCAAATAAGAATAGCTTATCGTATCTATGTTCAGGATATCGAAAAATTGATTTCAATTGATTGTCAACAATTCTGATCTTATATCAGCTCTAAGAGAGGTAACTCCAGAATTCCCGGTCAAATGTATTTTAATTTTTAATATTATGAAATTTACTTTTGCAAAAGAAATTGTTGAAAAATTCTGCGAATTTTTTAGTAGCGTTTTCGCACTTGATACTGTTCCTTATACTGAATCGCACGGTATTGATCATTGGTCATCTTTCTGTATTATACTCAGGCCACTGAAGATGATATTAAAGAGTGCTTTTCGAAAGTAAAAAATAAAAATACTGCCGGACTGGATCAAATTCTTGCGTTTCTATTGTAAAGTATCTACGCCACTGTGTGTACAGCTATTGCGCATGCTTGTAAAACAGCAGGATGGGATGTGATTTGTGGTATAGAGTAGAATATACTTTTATTCGTTATATTATATTAATACATTTTGTGTAATAAAGTATTGTGTATCAATTTCTAATTCAATAATGAATACAGTGCGCATCCCACGAGAAACCACTCGACTACGACACAATAGTTTCTAATTAAGGATTGTGCCAATGTATTTACTAAACCTATTACATGGCTGATAAATAGGTCTCTTAAAACCAATACATTTCCAGACATCTGGAAATGCGCTCATGTGTCTCCTGTTTTTAAATCAGGTGATTTCACTATCGTCTATCGGCCTATCTCTGTTTTATGTAACTTTGCTAAAACCTATCAATTATTCCTTTATTCTAGAATATATTGTAATGTCAAGCGTTCTATATCTGTGTGTCAACATGGGTTTTTTGAAAACTATATCTAACTTAATATTTATCGATCCATCTGGACCGCCAGGTCCACGTTGATGTCTTATATACGGATATATCGAAGGCATTTGATCGGATTAGTCATAGAATTTATGTCGTCCTACCTAGAAAATCGCCCTCAGTATGTGTCATATAATAATTACAATTCTAGGGTTTACTTACCAACATCGAGTGTACCCCAAGGTCCTAACCTAGGCCCCCTTTTATTTCATTTATATATTAATGACATCAGTATCGTTATTTCTGCGACAATTTGCTGATGATTTAAAAATATTCTATCATATTATCTCATTGAAAGGCTGTTGCATA